TTTATCTTGTCCTCAGATGGTTTTACCTGGCCGCCCTCGAGCACAAACCCCAAAAAGGTGACTGAAGACTGATGAAATTCGCACTTCTCGGCTTTAACGAACAGCTTGTTCTCCAGCAGTCTCTGTAACACAAGGCGGACATGTCTTTTATGTTCAGAAAGGTTCTTTGAGTAGATGAGTATGTCGTCGATATAGACGAAAACAAACACATTTAAAAAGTCTCTGAGAACATCGTTCACGAGGGCTTGGAAGCAGGCTGGAGCGTTAGTTAGACCAAAAGGCATCACCAAATATTCGAATTGGCCTAAAGGGGTCTTGAAGGCTGTTTTCCATTCATCTCCATCTCGGATCCTAAGAAGATGATATGCGTTCCTTAAGTCCAGTTTAGTGAAAACTGTAGCCCCTTGTACAGGTTCGAATGCTGAAGCAAGTAGAGGAAGTGGGTATTTATTTTTTATTGTGATTTGGTTCAAACCTCGGTAATCAATACATGGTCTCAGGGAACCGTCCTTCTTACCAACAAAGAAGAACCCGGCGCCCAAAGGAGAGGAAGATGGGCGGATTATTCCTGCAGCTAATGATTCATTAATGTATTTTTTCATGGTCTCTCTTTCAGGCTTGGAAATGTTGTACAACCTGCTGCTAGGTAGTGGTGCTCCAGGTAAAAGTTCAATGGCGCAGTCATATGGTCTGTGTGGAGGTAGGGACGTCGCACTGACCTTACTGAAGACAGGAGCCAATTCATGGTACTCAGAGGGAACTGAAGAAAGGTCAGGAGAGTCCATCTCCCCCCCACCTCTAGGAGACCCCACCAAGGGGGCAGCCGAACAGAGGCATGTCTCATGGCATGTAGTAGACCAAGATTCCAGGTGACGATCAGTCCAATTTATGTGTGGATTATGCTTCTCCAACCATTCGAAACCAAGCACCAGGGGAGAGCATGCAGAAGGAAAAACAAAAAATGGTATCGTCTCTCGGTGGTTACCTGACAGAAGTAGCTCGAGGGGTTGAGTTTGATGGGTAACTTGGTGAAGTCTTTTCCCGTCAATGGCAGAAACACTAAGAGGTTGAGTCAGAGGAATGGTTTCTATTTGGAGTTGTTGGACTAGGTTAGAATCAATTAAGTTCCGTTCACAGCCTGAATCGATGAATGCAGAAAAGGAGAGGCTTTGGTTAGCACAAAACAACGTGGCAGGCAGCATCAGTCGAGGAGATTTCTTAGTGTTAATTTGGCCCGCCAGACTCCTCAGATCCTCTGGCGGGCCCTGGCTTTTGATTTAGCCGGGCAGGAAGCGATGAAGTGTCCACTCTCACCACAGTATATGCACAATTTACTCAGAAAACGTCTTTGTCTCTCCTCAGGGGTGAGCCTGGTGTGTCCCACCTGCATGGGTTCGACATCTCTTTCACCAGAATGAGAGGCCTGAATAGGCAGAGGGAGAGACTGGGCCTTAGG